TCTGATTTCGTAATAGAACCCCAAAGCATTAGGCTGCCCTAAATGGGGAGTGCGGGAATGCGCATAAAAGTATGTATTTGAATGCACCTTTATGGTGTGAACCAACCTGGCTGCTGACTGCAGTTGTAAATGAGTGTGGTATTTCAGAGTTACATAACTTTAAAAATATATTTTTAGAGCTAATCAAATAAATTGTAGAAAACCTACTTTTTTTCCTTTTTAACTTTTCTTTCTTTTTTTTTCCTTTTGTTCCTCAATTTCACTGTGATTCACCAGAGCGAAATCCGTGCCATCTCTGTGAACCAATGGGGATCTCAGTTGGGACTGAATGTTTTGAACAAGCTCAGCCAGCTGTACTGCTCTCTGGTGTGGGAAAGCACGGTCTTACTTTTCTCTCTGCACGCCTAACAGGTACTACTAAGGGAGTAGATTGTGTTTCATCTGTATGTGACTATAAACTAGCTTTCATGAGATTCAGAATCTTTTATATATCCTTTTATTCAAATTGTTTAGACATAGGTTGTGTTAAATTGAAAAATCTAACTTGTGATGAATAGTAAATAGCATTTGCTTTATTTTTCCTGTCAGCCTGCCCCCTGGATGTGAGTTTGGTCAGGCAGACATGCTGAAACTTGCCCCCAAAGAGGAGAAAACAACCCCACTGCCCCAAGGAGCCAAAAGAGCAGGTATGGCTTTCACTTGTTTTTGAATGTTATATTAACGTTGGGAATTTTTTGTTTTAATGAAACTTAAAATATTTGCAACTGTATTTTATGCATGACCCCTTAAAAAAACTGTCCTTGCAATATTTACTCAGGATGTTCGGTCACTTGCCCCTAACAATGTTCTTTGTTCTTGCTGCCACATTACATTGATGGGAGGAAAAAGGCATGCAAAACTCCGGAGCACCTTCTGAGGTGCTCCTATGCCACAATATTACATGTAATGTTTCTCTTTTCTTTTCTTTTTTTTTAATTAAAGGTTTGGTAGTAGTGTTTCAAACATCCTAATGTAAGAACTTTCTCCTAGTGTTCATTAGGATACACAGTAGACATCTGGATGAACCTTCTGCCAACAGGTCTCATGCAGGCAACTTTTCACCAATTAGTAAATTAACTGAAATGGCAGCTTTCATCAGAGAGACTGTCTACAGTCTCATGCAAGTTTTCTACAACACACTTTGGGGTTGATTTAAAAAAAAAAACTGTAGAGCGCAGAATATGGTGCAGCTCTGCATAGAAACCAGTCAACTACCATTTCTTGGCTACTTTGCACAACTGTACCACATTTTGCGCACTCCAGTTTTAGTAAAGCAACCTATTTGTGTTTCAACTTGGGTTTGAGTTTATTTCTGCAGCCAAGGTCAGCTTTTGCAAACAAAATGGCTTTTTGTTAATCACCTGGAGATTGAACATGTTCACTTTGAAGAACAGACGCTTCCTGATAGATTCTTTCAGCTGTGAAGCAGTTACCCTAGTTCCTGGAATGAGTAGCCTCACCCTTGGGAAATCCTTCTATATCTCTCCTTAACAAGGGGATAGTGATATTAGTCCTATTATTATTATACAGGATTTATATAGCGCCAACAGTTTGCTGAATGCTTTACATATAACGGGAGACAATACAGCAACAATACAGTTCAATACAGTTCAATACAAGAGGGTTAGGGCTCCTTGGAGCTTACTATCTAGTCCTAGATGCCTCCTCTTGTAAGAGTCCAGTGGACATGCTTTTGGCTGCCTTCACTAAATACTAACTGGCCCGACCTTTGCAGCTGGGTCAGAAGTGAAAGTGAGTGAGAATTCTGCTTGCAAAAGAAGGTTCCACTCCGGTAATTTAATTGACCTTGCAGATCTTTTGGTACAAGTCAGTAATTCTGTGGGGCTCCCCTGAGTATGGCACAAAACACTGGATTTCAAGGCCCTCGATTAATTCATCTATTTTTGAAAATATATATTTTCCTCATTCATTACAGAAAGTCATATACTTTTTTATTTTTTCATTTCAGGTACATATATAGTGCAGCGCTTTACTTTACTCTCTCTCTCTCTCTCTCTCTCTCTCTCTCTCTCTCTCTCTCTCAACTCTCTCTCTCTCTCTCTCTCTCTCTCTCTCTCTCTCTCTCTCTCTATCTCTCTCTCTCTCTCTCTCTCTCTCTCTCCCCCCCCCCCCCCTCTCTCCCCCCCCCCCCCTCTCTCCCCCCCCCCTCTCTCTCTCTCTCTCTATCTCTACTCACACTCCCCCCCCCCCCTCTCTATCTCTCTCTATCTCTCACACTCCCCCCCCCACTCTCCCCCCCCCCCCCCCCCCCCCCTCTCTCTCTCACCCCCCCCCTCTCTCTCACCCCCCTCTCTCTCTCACACTCCCCCTCACCCCCCCCCCTCTCTCTCTCTCTCTCACACTCCCCCCCCTCTCTCTCCTCTCTCACACACACACACACTCCCCCCCCCCTCTCTCTCTCTCTCTCTCACACACACACTCCCACCCCCCCCCCCCTCTCTCTCTCTCTCTCTCTCTCACTCACACACACTCTCTGTACATTCACATCAGTCCCTAACCTTTAAGGGGCGTACAATCTAAGGTCCCTAACTTACATTCATACAGACACATACTAGGGCCAATTTAGTCAGGATCCAATTAACCTACCAGCATGTCTTTGTAGTGTGGGAGAAAACCGGAGTACCCGGAGGAAACCCACACAGTCACAGGGAGAACATGCAAACTCTAGGCAGGTGGTGCCGTGGCTGGGATTTGAACCAGCGACCCGAGTACTGCCAGGCGGAAGTGCTAACCATTTAGCCACTGTGCTGCCTTTTGGCATTAAATACCGACTTAGGGATTGAGTGCTGGTGTCATCTGCTGGGTAAAATATTGCATGCTCTGCTCTCCTTTCTGCCATTCAGTGTTAAGGGAGAATCTCCCCCAACTTCTGTTCTCACTTTGCAAAGAGCCAAGTGTATCTCCATTCTCCATTATATCTTGGTCACCTCTGAAAATCTGACTCAAACCAGCTGCCTGCTGCCATGGTGTTGAGTCCTGAAGCCTTGCCTCACACCCTGAGCTTAGTTGCATCACCGTGGGTGTAACACGTCTATATCTAGACACAGTATGACAATGCCGCAGGTGACCCTCAGGTCACACACCCTTAACAATGAAGTGAAGCAAAAAGAGCGCACCAACCTTGCGCATTACCTCAGTAAATCTGTGATGTTATTAAATAAAATATATATACTCACAAACAAGGAAGTAAAACAAGCATTACAGATCCTCAAAGGAACTAGGGAGTGCAGAGCCAGTGTGAGTCACGTCACGAGGGTAGACTCTCAAAGTAGACTTCCTTGTTTGTCAGTATATATATTTTATTTAATAAAATCACAGATTTACTGAGGTAATGCGCAAGGTTGGTGCGCTCTTTCTTTTTGCTTCACTTAACCGTATCGGTCAGGCCTCCCCAGACTTGTTCTAGAGCTGCACAACCTTCCATGTACAGTGCTGGTGGATTTGTTTTGAGGTTTCTTCAATCCCTCCACCCCTTGTTTGAGTCCTAGAGCGCAGGCGGTGTTTCTCTATCTGCACACACCCTTAGCACTTCAGGGAACATTTGTTCTGTGTCTTCTGTAGGTGCTAACATGTAATATGAAATCCTGTTACCCTATGGTTATATGGTCCACCTTGTCACCTGAGACTTCTTTGCTCCTCTGGATGATCTGTCTGTGCTTTTTGGGTCTTTAACTTTTTAAGCATCTGATTCGCAGGGTTGCCAGGGTACCACCTGGTCCTCTATTCATACCTAGTAAAGATTTGCAGGGTGGATCTCCAGGCCTCTGTTGATTCGATCTTCAGCTGCAAGGTGCTTCAGGCTGTAATCTGGAGTTTTTCTGATCTGTTGGCCTTTTTTTTTCCATGGGCCTGTTTTGCTGTTTTATTTTGTTGCCAATCCATCTGTTTATTGCTTGGCAACATGCCATGGTGTATGACTACAAGTCTTTGCCTCTGCCCCCTCTAAGATGATGGGTATTTTGACTTGCATGTACGTTCCATATCTGTGAGTATAGTACATTACGCAGTCCCCCTCCACTCTGTCCTGTCTCTTTATTGCTTGCTACAAAACTCGAGTCCCACAGAGAGGGTAGGGTTAAAGGAGGTTGAACCGGTGGCTCTTTCAGCAAAGCTTTTGCGAGTGACCAGTCACCTGAAAATAGTAGCCTATACCCATGATTTATACTAGAAGTCCTGTACTGTACTCAAAGATATTGAATTTACAGGTAGGTAAAAATTCTCCATTTTTTTGTACTTGCTGTAAAATCCTTTTAGTCCATTGAGGGACACAGGTCCCACTTTTCTGGTTTGATTATGTTCTTGGTACTGCTTGCTACAAACTGAGACATGCTGATAGTGGGAGTTCCCTGGACTGTTTGCCTGTGTCCAGTCCTCCTTTTTTTTGCTGTGTCCCTGAATGGACTCCGGAGAATTTTACAGTGAGTACAAAAATCCTATTGTATAAAAGTTTTGCTCCCAGGGGGTAAGGGGGGAGAAGCAATGCTGTAGTGTTTAACTTCAGTAAACTACTGGAGAAAGGGATTTTACATTGAGTAGAAAACACACTTTTTGCTATCGGTTAATTAACTCACGCCTACCATAGGAACTTAATGTATTATTTAAACAATAATGAGGTTTTCCTGTTAACCTTCTCTCTTTTTTTTTTTTTTTTTCTTTATTTTAGAAGGGGAGGTTGAAAGCTCAGCTGCCAGTGAAGAAACCACTGGACTTTTAGAAGGTATTGGGCTGGATGGAGATACCCTGGCCCCTATGGAAACTGATGAACCAAGCACTTCCGACCCCAAGGGTAAGCCTAAGATTACCCCCCGCGATGGCTGCCCGTATTAAACAGATCAAACCTCTACTGTCAGGTAAGATAGATTTATGTAGCACAATAAATCTCTACCTCACATTTCAATTTAAATTTGTCTGTTATTTTACAAAATTATCTCTTTATTCAAGCTTCCTCAAGATTAGGTCGTGCTTTAGCCGAGCTGTTTGGTCTCCTGGTTAAGCTGTGTGTTGGATCTCCTGTTCGGCAAAGGAGAAGTCACCATGCAGCAAGCACCACCACAGCACCCACTCCTGCTGCTCGTTCCACTGCTTCTTCTCTCACCAAATTGCTTACCAAAGGCCTTTCTTGGCAGCCTCCTCCTTATACCCCGACACCTAGGTTCAGGTAAGTGAAGTGTATTGAAATATGTGCTCTTAAGACCTACCAAGACAAGAAAACTTTGATTTCTTTTTTTATTTTATAGTTTTAAGATCAAAGAATCGTTTTAACTTTGTTTAAAGTTATTTATTATCAGGATCCCATCAGGAAGCAGGACATCTGTAATTGGGCTTGTATGCTGTCAACCATTTCCTCAATGACTGCACATTACTTCTGGGGCAATGATTAACTGAATAGGTTTACTTTCTCTAACCCTAGAATTGGTATGTGGCTAATGATTTGGGGAAAGCTACTTTTTGTAGGAGCCCAATTTCAGATGTATTTTTTGACTGCTTCCCTTGAAAGTGACCACCTGGTATTTTCAGAAAAGTTGGTCTACAATGCCAGCCTCCCAGATTTCCTTTAACTAAACTAAAACTCTTGTTTGTTTGTTTTTTTATTAGGTTAACATTCTTCATATGTTCAGTTGGCTTCACATCTCCCATGTTGTTTGATGAACGTAAATATCCTTATCATCTGATGCTACAGAAATTTTTATGTTCTGGTGGACACAATGCACTCTTTGAGTAAGTAAACAATCTTCTTTGTCCATTTCCTGGTGTCTTCAGAGAAGTCGCAGTGCTGCTATGCTAGAGTTTAGGGAAAAATATAAGAATTTCTACCTGTACTGATAAAGAAACAAGTGCTGCTTACAATGTCTGTAGCTCCAGCTTTGAGTCATTTCTCTTTTTCATATTAGTACTTATATATATTGTACAGATTTGGAAGCACTGGAGTGCGTATTTCCTAGGCAGCTGGCTTAGGACCCTTTCACCTGGGCGGACCCTGCCAAGCAGATCCACCTGCTCAGTGGGAGATCTGTCCACTGATCCCCGCTGAGCAGGCAAGTGAAGGGTCCGTGTTGGCTCCACTTCTGCAGAATGGACATGGACACAGCCCTCTGTTCCCTATGGGGCAGTCGGATGTAAAGGGACACTATGGTAGTCTCTCACCATCCCTCCCTACATGTTGTGTGAGACATATAAAAGGAAGGAGTACAGCTGGCCCAAGGAGGAGAAGGCTGATGGTTGTTATCCATGATACTAAGCTTTGTATGACTCATCTGTGATAGGTAGTCATGTAAATCTGGTGAGTGTTCTGTGTTTATGGTGGAGGATTTCGGGAACACTATGGCACTGATTGTTGGAAATGGAGCAATTGTTTGAGAACAAACACTTTATTAAGTTCGTAGACTTTGTGCATTATACTGTGAATAATTTGAAGGCAATGTACACTTTATATGCACAAAGAACACTTTATTGAATCATGTTTCAGTTTTATTTGTGTATATGAGCATTGCAGAGAATTTGCTTGTTTGGTGCACGTTAAAACAAAAACCAGTAGCGCTGTATAAAAAGAGTGTGTGTATATAAGGGCTGGTGCGATTAGTATAGCACTTGGCACAGCAGCTGCAGTGAATTGAGGAGTCACATCCAAAGCACTGGTTCTCATTATATAAAACTGGATTTACATTGGTTAAGGGTTGAGTGTGCGGGCCCATTCATTTCTACTTTTGAGTGTACTGTGACTGATGCACTTACTGAAATCCTTCAATCAACTTTGTCCGCCGTATTGTAGCGACAGCTACAATACAGCAGCTTCTGTATCAGTGTCCCTCATGTCAATGACTTAGATGACCATACTTGGACCCTTCCAGAGAAGAGGCACGGCTCTCCTGTAAAGTTGGTTTGGGCACTAGATCCTGCATTCAGGCGCCCACCTTGGCTCTTGGTGGAGGGTGCTATACAGGTCCAGAGCAGAGATGATCTGCAGTGATGTGACCCAGTCCCTGAAGACCCACTTACTGAGGGGGTATGCTTGTCAGGAGTGTAAGGGTGGGATTCATCACTACAGATGCTGAATTCATTCAGCACTTGGAACTCCTGGCAAGTGCTCTGGGTACATTATGTAGATGGTTTGGCTGACTCCTTGTGTTTGATGTCTAGGGTGGGCTTCCTGCCTGTCCAGATATGCATACTCTTTTGTCTTAAAAACTAGTCGGCAGAACCGGCATACAGAAAACGGCTGGAAAGAAGCCACCTTGGCTGTCTTGGTTCAGGATATTCAAGATCTTTTGGGCTCAGTATGTTGTAACTGTCAGTATGTTTGTCTCTGCCCTCAACTGAGTGTGCCTAAAATCTGGGATGCAGATGCCATATCCAAGGAGCATCTAGTTCACCTGGTCTTCAAGGGGACATAGCTGTTTTCCACCCTTCTCCATCTACTGCCACTGTTGGCCCAGGTAGTCCCTAGTATATAAAAGAGGCTGGACCAGATCCCTCATCTTGTATCTGGTGGATTTCACTTGCTGGAATAACTTGAACTTCTGAGCTACCATATGATTCCTCAGAATAGATAGTTGCATCCATGTCAGGAGCTGTGGCCTTATCCAAGCTTTCTGGTTTAGATTCCTACCTCTGGGATGGAGTGGGAGTCCCCCACATGACAGGGAAAGTCGCCTGGTCCCTGCATTGGACAATGCTTAGATTATTAGTTTTGCACGCTTTCCTTAGAACACTGCTTTGAAAATAGGTGCACAAACCTAGGTACAGAAACCAAAGATCCTACATGGTAGGAGTAGATCACTGGAGGGCCCTGTGCCTCACTGGATTGTTAGCAGGTGGTACACCGTAGCTTGCTGCTTCAGGTACACTCTCCTGGAGATAGTTTGTCTGGAGGTTGTTATGTGAGAATAGGCCCTCCTTTGGTTGATCCTGCAGCCTCTCGGGGAAGGTCCACCAGATGCCTTCCTTTGTTCAGCCCTTAATTAGGTGCATACTCTTAGTGAATGCAAGATTCCTTTCCCTCGTTCCACAGCTGTGAGACAGCCAGCACTCCAATAATGCAGTTAATGATTTGTGGCGATTTGCAATTTTTAGTTTTTTTTAAATAGGTGATGGGTTGTAGGTAATGTATATGTGGGTGGCTTTATCCTTTTGTATCTTATGTTTACCATCGTTGACATGTTATGGAGAAATTGTATGGCTTTTTATGTTGTATGATCTTTATGTAGTTATTTTTTCTCTTACTATTTCTATTACATCCCATTTCAGAACATTTAACTGGGCCCTTTCTATGGGTGGAAGAGTACCAGTTTCTGAAGGTTTGGAGCACCCAGACCTACCGGATGGTACTGGGGAATTTTTGGATGCATGGCTCATGCTGGTGGAAAAGATGGTGAATCCTACCACTGTTTTGGAGTCGCCACACTCTCTACCTCCCACCAAGCTGCCTGGAGGACAGAACTTCCCTCAGTTTAGTGCCTTGCGATTCTTGGTTGTTACTCAGAAGGTATTCACTATTATTATGCATGTGATATCTGTAAGGGTTTGTTGTGTAAATTGTTCAATAGTAGGTGTTGCACTTACCGCCAGATGTAAGATACGAAAGTGAATGTTCTACATTATTAATTTAAAATAAACCAGAGGCCAAGCTATGTACATGAATGTGTTTTATATATATATGTAACATGCAGTAAATTAGTTTAATACAAGCCATTGATAAGTGCTGAATTGCTCCACAATGCCTGCAGCTACATCTGCAAAGTTCATAACAAAGGTACTGAAGTCCGATTCTAGTGTTTTTTATCAGCCGCTTTAGCTCATCATGTTCCTTCTTCCAGCAGTGGCTTTCAGCCCAATAGTGTTAAAGAGCTCATTCTGTGTCTGTACATTGGAAAGCTGCCAAGAAACCAACTAGATTTGGACTACAGTGTGTCTGTTATGAACTTAGAAGATGAATTGCTGGGCAGTGCCTGCAGCTACTGAGCTCTGTGAGGGGCTTGTTTTAAACGCTGTTTACTGAGTGCTATAACTCTCCATAGTATATAGGATATATATTAATTTCAAACAGTGTACGTAGTTAAATTTGACATATTCACAGCTTGCAATCCCTTGTGTGGCAGCATTTAGACTGGGTGAGTGAGGGGCAGTGCTTTGAGCTAATCCAGAGTGCTGCATGCAAATATTTTCACAAGCTGCGAGTCTATGTGAGGAGAGAGCAGTTTACCTCATCAGCTTGCTGATTCCTCCACTATCCAGTCAGCTGGTTGATGTTTTACACCTCTGTAATAACCAACGCAAAAAATAGTGGCTCTCTCCTGGCTGTGTGGGTTGATGAGATTTTGTACATTTTAGGACTGAATAAACAAATACAATAAATTTTGCTGCTAAGACGGCTCTCATGTATTTCATCTGTATATTTGCAAGCCCCCTGCTGATCTGTGCTGTGGTTGGCCAGAGCACTAGTCGATTAGCTGGGTATAGCTAATGATTTTGGCTATATACCAGCTGATCGGCTGTGGCCAATCATAGACCAAAGTACTGTGTTTACAAACACTCAGGACTCTATACAAACTGTGATATGGCTATTTTTCCCTGAAAAGCAGGGAAAAAAACAGTCAGATCTGTAAGTAAAAGCAGCACATATTACATAACACTTGTTAGGCACACCATTAACCCCTTGATTGCCCATTGATATTAACCCCTTCCCAGCCTGTGTCAGTACAGTGTACAGTATTGTATCTGATCACTGTATTAGTGTCACTACTGTCGCCCTTCCCTGCCAGCTTCCATTATTGCCAGATTTCTCACCACACTTTTGCAGTCCCACTATAAGTCGCTAATCACTGCTATCTCCTAGATTATAAGCTCCGAGGAGCAGGGCCCTCCTGTCCCTCTTGTATTGAACTGTATTGTTGCTGTATTGTCTCCCTTTATATTGTAAAGCGCTGAGGCGATCAGATACCACCAAAATAAAGCTCAATTCGTGGGAGAAAGAAAAGGATGCAAATTTCATTTGGGTGCAGCGTTGCATGACCGCGCAATTGTCAGTTAAAGTAACGCAGCACCGTAATGCAGAAAATGGCCTGGTCAGGAAGGGGGGTAAATCCTCAGGAGGGCAAGTGGTTAATTTATTAGAACATTTGGATACATCATTTTCTTGTTTTTTTATTGGTAATTAATCGCAATAGTAGAAATGTAGAAAAAAATAAATTTTCCTGTAATATTTAATTCACTCCCCCATTAATTTACTCCAAAATATAATCCACAAAGTCTGCCAATTAAAATGATGCCAGAGTAAAGCGGTTGGTAAACCCCATCCTCCTCAGTTGTGAAAGAAATGCACTTTGGCGTATAAAAATTAAAATCACAATATCTGTACCACCATTTTTTCATTATCGCCTGTCACAGCCTGTAAATGTCTCCAGTCCTTGGGTATGTCCATGGGCCGGAGCTTAGGAGGCGGAGCCATGATATCGCCAACTCCCCCATAAATCATAGTAGTGCAGCCTGCGGTACTCCCAGTGCACGCACAGCCCACTCAATGCATGCGCCATATCAAAGCTACAGGCGCTTGAATGTATTAGAATTTGTGAGACTGATTTAATTCTGTGCACCAAGCAATGGTGAGGATTTGAAGCTGACAGGCTGCATTTTTTTCCCTGCCATACTAGGGGCAAAATTTGTGCTTTATTGCTTCGTTATATAAAATGTTCCGTTTGTTTTGTTTTCTAGGTTTACAGCCACTTTAATGTGGCTTCTATTTATCATGGAATAGTAATGCTGAAAGTCAGTGTATGCATTATACTTAGTCGTTTCACACCGCTGTGATGTGGTTTGGCCGCAGGGCAATGTACCTGTGGTTTTTGTGCAGTTAACCTGCGTTTTTCCCTTAGACTTCCTATTTGCAGGGTTTTGGTGAAGAAAGCTTTCAGCGTAAAAATGTATGATCTCATTGAAAGCCTACCTGTGGGACAACTGCATGAAAACCGTGGGTACACCCATGCTGCAGCCAAACCACAGCACAGCAATGTGAAATGGCCCTTAACCACTTCCTGTCCGGACACTTTCACCCCCTTCCTGTCCAGGCCAATTTTCAGCTTTCAGCGCTATCACTTTGAATGACAATTGCGCGGTCATGCAACACTGTACCCATATGAATTTTTTAGCATTTTTTTGAGACAGATAAAACATTATTTTGGTGGTATTTATTCACCACTGGGATTTTTATTTTTATTTTTTTTTTGCTATATAAATGAAAAAGTCCAAACATTTTGAAAAAAAAGTTTTTATAAAATTTTGCAAATCTTCATAAATCTTGGCCAAAATGTATTCATCTATATTTTTAGTAAAAAAAAAAAACCCAAATTAGTTTTTAACCAAAAATTACAATTTTAAAAAAAAATGTTTTTTTAAACATACTGTCATCCTAGCTGTTCAGTGTCACCATAGTGACACTGTACTACTTGTGGGGAGTGATGAAGATTTTTTTTTTTTTTTTTTTTTTTTTTTTTTACACCCATAAAGGCTGTAAAAGTAATCATTTCTCCTCTGGCTGCATTGTTGCAGCCATTGAGCAATACTGTACAAGCTGTGATTGGTCACAGCTTGTCATATGGTACAAGGCTGTTGTGAATAGCCCTGTACCATGTGACCTCTGTGATCATTCACAGATTTCACACGTAGTATGCAATGTCAGAAGCGACATCTTGCTTACTACTATTCATGTGATCACTGATTGGCCAATCAGTGATCACATGATCGGGATCTCACACAGAGGTCCCGTACAGTGATCGATGTTCTGTGTCCGGAGGACGACACAGCGGGCGTCGCGGTGCCATGCGCTCCCAGGGAGCACGCACAGGCAGGGAAGCGGGAGGATGTTTATAAACGGCCACCCGCTCCTGCACTGCTCACGTCCGATCCATGTACATAAATGGCCGGATGGGAGCAGTGCAGGTTAAGAGAGCTCTATTCCCCTTTCAGCCCTACGTTGTAATGCGCACAATGGGGGTGCATAGTTTGCATAAATTGTTAGCCTCCATACTGACAAGTAGTGTGGTGACATCACTACAAACCCGACGTGATCACCACTGTGTTGTGATCTATAAAAACATTGGAAGCACCTGGGCTTTGTACTGAGCACTGGCTATCACCAGCAGCCGGCAACTCCAGCACAGGCATGCTGGAGCCACTGAGACCGGCTGTTTTTAAAATCGTGAAAATATACTCCACTACAAGCTCTGTCAATGGGGCATCAAAGCAGACCATGAAACTACATGATCAGTGCACACCCTGTGCTGATGAAAAGCAAAAGGTGCAGGTAGGAAGGTTTCATAGTGCCTTTAATGGGATGGCTGGCTGTCTCTTTAACAAGCTGCTAGTCTGCTTTCAGCAATGTTTTTAAAGTGGTGCTAAAGGTTTTTTTCTATAATTAACTCTTTGGTAAAGGGATAAGCCTTTTTATGATCAAAACTCCCCTAAATACTTACCTGAGCCCGATCTCAATCCAGCTCTGTGCCCAAGTGCAGCGGTGCTTCTCTCTCTTCTCACGGAACTCAGAGGCAGCAGCTGGAGCCATTGGCTCCTGCTACTGTCAATCAAATCCTGTGTGGAAGTAACTAAGGTGGGGCTGTGCTGTGTATCAATAGATGTGCACAGCCCAACTTGGGATTGATCCTGCACAAGTGTCCCCATAGCAAGCACTTGCTATGGGGGTATTCTGGAGGGAGGAGGTGCCCAGAGCGGCAGCAAGGCACCCCAGAAGAGAAGGTTTGGGGCTACAAAACATTACACAGAGCAGATAAGTATAACAGGATCAGTATTTTAAGAAGAGAATTCTGCAATCACTTTAATTATTGCTGAAGCTAACAGAAGCCAGTTTGTTTAAAGTGACAGTCAGTACTTCTGTTTGTTTTTTAACATTCCCAAACTGGTACAAAATGGTACTTTAGTGCCCCAACAAAGTTTGCTAAAGGTTTTGTAAATGCCTTGTAAAAGCTTACTCTACATATGGCTGTTATACAAGCAGTAGCCTATAAGCACTTGGCCTTAGTGCCCATTTCCTCATGTGTGGTTTTCTTTACCAAATGTTTTTTTCAAAGTGGTACCATTCCTTTCTATGGAAGATAAACTTTCTGGAAACTGGACTAAGAAATAGAATTTTTTACTTTTTTTTTTTTTTTTTTTTTTTACAAACTCTGGCCTGTAGACAGTTACCCTAGCAGTGGGTATCCTTCCACACTGCAAGGGTTAACGGTTTTATCAAGGAAATGACTATTAGGGTGATTACTTGCATTACTCCATGCTCTCCTGGCAGCTGGTGCTGTCTGATCCTTCTGGGATGTGGGCTATCCCTTAGCATCCTTGCTTACAATACAGGACCACTGGTACTGCATTGTACACAAGATGACATCAGAGCTGTAACCAATTTGCCACCATTCGTACCACTCAGTAGAAGCGTTTGTGAGAGAGAAACAAGGTAATTAGTTTAGTTTTCCCTTATCCAGTACGCTTAACCATAGCAGTTCAAAACCAAAGTTGTGAACCATCCATAGGGTTAAGTACAAGCAAAGAAATTGCATCAGGATCAGTCTTTTGTTATGTAGTTTTTGTTTTAATAGCGGTCTACATCAACCAATCACATTTTGATTTGCTTTTAAAGGCAGCCTTCACTTGTATAAAGAACTTGTGGAACCGAAAGCCGTTAAAGGTATATGGAGGTCGAATGGCTGAATCTATGCTGGCTATCTTATGTCATATACTTCGTGGTGAGCCAGTGATTCGAGAACGTTTGAGTAAAGAACGGGAAGGCAGCCGGGAAGAAGAGGGAGCGCAGCAGGATGAGAGTGGAGCAAGACGAGAGCCACAAGTAAACCAACAGCAACTTCAGCAGGTGAGTTTTTATTTACCATTGTTTAAAAAGTAAAGCTAAATAAGTTTGTTTTCTTTTGGGATCGATTTGTGGTACACTAATAGACTATAGTGTGGTCACTTTCTATTTTTTATTTTTTTTTTTTTTTTTTTTTTTTTTTTTTACATTCGGAGATTTGAATTTTGATCATTTCGGTAATGCTGCTTACAGTACTTGCAGTCGTCGTAGCTGTAAGAGCTCACTAAAGTTGATTTCAGCACCATGTGGTGGTGCAAGAGGTGAATGTAATTTGCGGCTTCCCAACCTAGTTAGTTGGTGACTCTTCATCTTGCTGTATAAAGGGATCACAGGCCATCCTGAGGTTGCTATTTAAACTAGAAATGATCTTAAAATATAACATTGCTAGTATTACAATTAGACTGTTTGAGACCTTACCGTCTCACATTATTAAACCCCTTTTTCTTTTCCATACAGCTTATGGATATGGGTTTCACACGAGAGCATGCAATGGAAGCTCTTCTCAACACAAGCACTATGGAGCAAGCCACGGAATATCTACTCACTCACCCACCTCCTCTTATTGGAGGAGTCGTGCGGGTAAGTGTGGCCATCTGGTGCCACCTTAGCCTTTTGGCTTTTCATCGATGTCCGCTTCAGTTTTGCTTCCCTTCCGTTCCCTCATCACATCTCATGTTTTCCCTGTCCTCCATTCCAGCCCCTTTCTACCGCAGGCTTTTCCGTGCCACTCTGCTAATGCAGAGCAGACCTATAAGCATCCGCATGTGACAGAGCAGTCTTATGTTAGTTAGGTGAGGGATAACATCACAGAATACAAACTGCTTTTGAACATCACTGACTAATATCGTCAGGGTTGGGCTCTGTAGTTAGAGAGAAGAACCATTCCCTTCCCCTGTACAGCAAAACGGGTTTCCCTGGCTAAACTGTAGCAGCTCCCTTCTCACCTTTTTGCTCCAATCTTCCCAAACCCATTGGACTCTTTAATGTCTTTCCTATTGCCTGTGCATCCTTACTCTCATGCCCTGACCTCCCCATTCTGCAGAGCAGCCCAGCTGACATGGGGTATCTGTTGTTGCTCTGCAGGACTTGAGTATGTCAGAGGAAGATCAGATGCTGAGAGCCATTGCCATGTCGTTGGGACAAGATATCCCTATGGAACAGAGGGCAGAGCTGCCCGAGGTACAGTACAAGATCAGCTGTGGGATTAATGGGGCTAGGCAAATGAAACTTTTCAACAAGTCTTGAGAAGTAAACAGGGTGTAAAGGGCACTGGCTTTTGTGCCTGCGTTAGAAAAGGTTGAGCTCTTCCTTCTCCCATCCACCTGACCAATTTTCCCTTACCCTTTTTCTCCCCATCCACTGTATCCCCAAATCTTCCCCCGCACACAGCCCCCCTTCTTTTCACCTTTGGTGAAACGTCACAAGATAAAGAGGTATCTCACCAGTATAAAGCATTGATGTTGTTTTTCTTTGTGTTGGTGACAATGATGGTGAGCCACAGGTTTTATAATATACATTTAAAGATGATAGATTATGGGTTAGGGCATTGTGTTTTTGGCCATTAGATTGAGGTGGGGTGGTAAAGATGGGGTCTGTGTATAGAACTTGGGTTGTTCCTTTACTTTAGAGCCCTTATTTCTACCTTTCTACAGGAAACTGCACGTCGAAAAGAGGAAGAGGAACGCAAGGCCCGCGAGAAACAAGAGGAGGAAGAGGCCAAGTGCCTAGAGAAGTTCCAAGATGCAGAACCCCTGGAGCAAGATGAACTGCATGGGTTTACAGACACAATGCTCCCTGGCTGTTTCCATCTACTGGATGAGCTACCAGATACAGTTTACCGTGTTTGTGATCTAATTATGACTGCCATCAAGCGTAATGGAGCCGATTATAGAGATATGATTCTAAAGCAGGTGGTCAACCAGGTCAGAATAGCATCCATACCTCAAAAATAAATACCATATTTTAAGTTTTCCCTCTAAACAGCCATTTAACTACATTGTTTGTCTTGTGTAGGTGTGGGAAGCTGCTGATGTGCTAATTAAAGCCGCTCTTCCTCTTACAACCAGTGACAATAAAACCGTGTCGGAGTGGATCAGTCAGATGGCAACTCTTCCTCAGGCATCCAACTTGGCCACCCGCATCCTTCTACTGACTCTTCTGTTTGAGGTGCTGATCCATTTTCATATGTTGCACTTTATTCCGGTTACATATTTTATTAACTGATCTATAAGTTTGACAGCAGAAGTGACAAAGTCTGTTGGTGGTTGCTGTTGATGTAACATATTAGGTGTTTTACCAAGTTGCTGTCCTCCAATTCTCCTAGTGCTGCCAGCTTGCCTCTTCATACCAGGTGCATGTTTCAGATTCGGTGTAATCAAGAGAACTGCTGTTTACCTAAAATTTTTGCATGCCTGATTCACAGTTGACTGCTCAGATTCAATGAATATAAAATAAACATGGCTTCTAAATATATTACACACACACACTTTTTTTTTTTTTTTATGTAAATGTTTTATATGGAATGATATAATATTAGTTGCGCAGCTTCCAGACACTTAGAGGACTTCAGCGAAGTAGCAGATAAAATGTTTGATTCATACTGATTTTTTTCAGTTGAGCACAGTCTTGAGAAAGATGGGATTTGCTCAGCAAAACAAAGGCTGTCCTATTTTTATTCTAAAGTATGCAGTGCATAATTTAACATTTCTTTTTCTTTATTTAAATTAGGAACTGAAACTTCCCTGTGCCAGAGTAGTGGAGTCCAGTGGGATCCTTAATGTCCTGATTAAACTGCTAGAGGTGGTTCAGCCTTGTCTGCAGGCTGCTAAGGAGCAAAAGGAGGTCCACACACCCAAGTAAGGCTCTCTTCATAGTCTTTATTGCATTTCATGCTAAGCAAATCTGAAATTTTCTTATACCAACTAATTACACCATTCTTCTCCTAACAGATGGATAACCCCTGTCCTGCTGCTAATAGACTTCTATGAGAAGACCTCCATTGCTTCAAAGCGGAGAGTACAGATGAACAGGGTAATCAAGTATGGTATTTGATGGGTCTACAAGGGGTGGGGTGTCTTCACAATCATGACTTCTAGTACAGACCTTTGCAAAGTGTTTTTTAAGGACATTTTGAAGGAGAATGGAAACTTTCTTTTCCATTGAGTTTCCTCTCAATATTAAATTTTGTCCTCTCTACCCTCAATCCTTTTGTTAGCAGTCATGGGATATGTATTTTGCTTTCTGCTGTCCATTCACCATTTTTCATGAGGTTGAAGTTATTCTCTGGGACATAAGCTTTCTTCTTCCAAAGGTCAAAATAATGGAGATACTGTCTTTCCCTTCGTCACATGAAGATTTCCATTAACTTTGTTCTGTACGTGTTTGTTCCCTGTCTGTGGACAAGTGTCAGCTGTAAGGTGAAAACTATTGGTGCCTAGAAGAGGAATTATTTTCATACTCTTGCATGGTACTCCTATTGCTTTCATAAAGGATACGTTCACCTTTCATGTTATAACCATATTCAGGGATTAACATGTTCCTAAATAAGCAGCCCTCGCACCTTCCTCTGAGCTCCCGTTGTGACAGCAGGCCAGGGATCTTCTCCCTGCACTTGCTGTCACAATTTTTTAAAAAATGCATCCGACAACATCATTTTATTCACAGTTCTGTGAATGAGAGAACTACAAGTACAGTCAGCCATTGCAGTTGATGGCTGGTAGTTCTCGATGAACTGCCTGGGTGCTGGTGAACGCTCTAATAGTTCATTGATTCGACCTTCCATTCAGTAACTGCCTGCCTGTACGAGATACGGATAGACAGCTACACTTACAGTATTGCAGGAGCCTGGCATTGCACTCATGATTTACTGATCGTGGGTACAATGCTTTACGGTCTAATAAAAAAAAAGAAAAAAACGCATGCACATATCTTTAATTTTTTTTTTTACCTGCAAAAAATGTTTATTTTTTTTTTTAAAAAGTTAAATTTATCTTTTAATGTGTATTACAAATTAAGGATTTTACAGCATTAGCAATCCTAATGACACTTGCAAAGGTGTCTTCAGTGACCAATCCTGTTATCTTAATGTGGGGATGATAGCTTTCTGGTAGGATAAAATACTTTTTTTTTTTTTTTTTTTTTTTTTTTTTTCTCCTCAGTTAACAGAAATGCAATATTTATCTTATTTCCTCTTTTAGTATCTGCAATCAAATGGTAACAACTGGCGTTGGTTTGATGACCGATCAGGACGTTGGTGTAGCTATAGTGCTAGTAACAACAGCACTATTGATGCAGCATGGAAAGCTGGGGAGACTTGTGTGCGTTTTACAGCCGGCCGCCGAAGATACACTGTACAGTTCACCACTATGGTTCAGGTAGCCTTTTTTTAAATGTTCTATTGATTGGTGTATCCCTGTGTTTTTATTTTAATTACTGAGCTGGTTATAGCAAATATATCCTTTTTTTTTTTTTATGCTTAAGTGTAATAGTTTGGGCTGAAGGAGAAAATACATGTACAGTTAGGTAAGGGCAAAGCAGGCCTCTCTGAAGAGATGCATTTTTAGGGATCGTCTAAAAGTGGACAGAGTAGCAGATAGTCGGACACATTGGGGAAAGGAGTTCCAGAAGGTGGGAGGAGCTCTGGAGAAATCCTGATGTCAAGCATGGGAGGCGGTGACTAGAGAGCAGGAGGCCTTCGAAGGAACGAAGAGAATGATTTGTTTGGTATTTTTAGACAAGATTAGTGACTTAGCTGGGGGCTGAGTTCTGGTTGTGGATGAGATAGCTTAAGGGCTCGTTCACATTTGGCTGTTTTGCCAACGCTTGCCAAACGCCCCTATAGCGTTTGGCAAGCGTTGGTCCGGCGTTTGCGGAGCGTTTTTAACGCTCCGCAAACGCCACATGCGCGGTTTAGCGGCGGTTGCTAGGCGTTTGCCGAGCGTTAATAACGCCCCACAAACGCCTACAATGCAGTTTGAGTGGTGTTACCGCTCCGCAAATGCCCCGCAACCGCGTCGCAACCGCACCGCAAACGCGGCGGCCGGGCGTTTGCGGAGCGGCACCATAGACGAGAATAGGAGGCTTCAAAGCCTCCTGACTCGACCAGAGGCGTCAGTTTTGCCGCGACGCGACGCAAAACGCTCCCGTTAGAACAGCACCATGTGCTGTAATGTGCAGAATTGGCAGAGGCGTTTGGGAAGCGGTAAAAACGCTTCTCAAACGCCTCTCTGCCGCCTGCACACAAGGCTAGTGTGAACGTAGCCTTACAGGTTGTTTTGAGTATCTTGAATGTAATTTGTCAAGTGAGCGGAAGCCAGTGGAGGGATTGGCAAAGTGGGGTGGCAGACACTGAACAGTTGGCAAGGTTAATGAGCCTGGCAGCAGCATTCATGATGGGTGGGTGAGGGGGGGTAGGGTAGCCTATGTAAAGGTAAGCCTGTGAGGAGGGAGTTGCATTAGTCAAGGCGGGAGATGACCAGGGTGGGAGTTAGAAGCTTTTTGGTGTCATTGGTTAGGAAGGGGCGTATCTTGGAGATGAATTATTATAGAAATCTGTATTTTGAAGCACTCATTTTTTTTCTTTGTATTTATCTTTATAGACAACTTTTGCAAGATTCCCATGTCACTATATTCAGAAAGATATTAGTTATTCATAAACAAAAAGTAAAAAAAAATAGAAAGCATATGGTCCAGTTGAAAGCTTACCATCTTCAGTTTGCCAGAAGGCATCTAAGGCAGCCTTGCTGGTTGAGTGAAAAAAAAAAACACTCAATTTTCCAATCTACACACTCAGTGTGGATGGGCGGAGCCTTCCCTGCTAAGCTATTGTATCTTGACAGCAGGAATGCACTCCGCTATCAGGATACACCGATCAGTGTTGCAGGCTATAGACTGAGCAGGGAAAATCTGACAGAGCGGTTGTACAGGAGATGATCAGTAGATCAACTTCTGTACAACCACAGTGCCCATATGTGAATCGAAACTCAGCTGGTTCCTGCTGATCCGCTGAATTTTGGTTCATGTATGGCCAGCTTAAGACACTCTGAAGTCAGCTTTATGAACAGTATGTGTTCTGATGAGACCAAATTTGAGGTTTTGTCCATTGGATAAAAAAGGAAGACTAATGTGAACTAAACAGTGCACATCAAAGAGGAGTGCATTTCTTTTGGTCATGGTTTGAAAAAAAAAGTACAACTAAAGGCTCCTGTATGAAAATCAAAACAAGTACCAAAAAAAGGTATTATGTGATGCACAAGCCTTTTGTAAAGTAAACAAAGAATTTCAGCAACAAGGAAGTGTTGTCAATCCAGAAGGCAGTGGGCCACACTAGGCTGCAATGCTGATGGCCACAACCTCTACATCTTTGCATTCCACTGTGATGCCAGCACAACCTACATGAGAATGGCAGTGCTCTAAATTCAGGAGCAGGACAGGTTTGTTAGAGCAACATCATAGGAAGCAACTTTGCAGGGGGACTAAGAAAGCTAAAAGTTCAGAAGCACTGAAGTGCTGCATCACATTTTATTTAGATGGGATATGGTAGTACTACTTTGCATTTATTCCAATGTAAGGCCTCTTTCACACAGGATGTACTAGAATGTAGGTATACCATATAGTATGCAAACAGATGTTTGTGCATTCCTGTTCAGGAAGTCCCATTAATGTTGGGACACAACGGTTCCACGGACACAGCTGATATATCATTCATGTGAGTTCTGGGGCACACACTCACAGCTATGCCCTATTGGCACACAGCGGCTTTGTCCATAATTTCATCAATAAAACTGCTTGCACAGGG